AGACTTTTTTTAGGTTGAGAACTGACGAGTGATAAACGACTTTGTTTATTAATCTTTAGAGGTTGTTTTAAAGTTGTGGCAGAGGCCAAAGAAAGTATGACTCAGTCCAGACCCTTGTCTGAGCTGAGCTTCTCACATGGTCTGGGTCTGCTTCAGAGTGGATACATTTCAGAAGGCGGGGCCTTGTAAAAAAATCCTTGTATGTGATTGGATAAACTACTTGTCCGTTATCTTGAATGACGTCTTCCTTCAACCACTCACATCGAACCACACGACTCCCATGGGTTGCCAAATGACGACAAGATTTTCCAGCTCAAAACCCGCGAGAATGCCAAAAAAAAAAACACCCAGAATGATTTTTTGGCTAAAAACGTAGTTTAATCAACTTGGACTATCATGATTTTATTTATTGTCTTTCTGTTTATTTATGACCTTCAAGTCTCGGGAGGTTGGGTGGTAAGCTGTAAACAGGAACACTTAAACTAGTTTTTAAACCAAACTTACAAACATTTGACTCTTAAAACACACATATAACAACATGGAACCATCAACATGGAACCATCAACATGGAACCATCAACATGGAACCATCAACATCTCGCCTCATATTGCATTAAAGTGACATCCGTGTCATAATAAGTTCGTATATATATTTTTTAAAGTTAAATTCACAGACTTGATATCCGCCATCTTGAATTCCTTTCGCTGCCGAGTGAGACAAACACGAGAAGGCGGTGCAAAACCCGACGTAACAACGGCGATCCTGATTGGCCGATTATTTTCTGATCTGAGTTTGCATTGGCGTCGATCCTAGGCCCTTGTATGTTCAGCCAAACGCCTCTGGTGGAGCATGGTCTTAAATTCAGTTCTGTTCAATGTATTCTTGTACCGTCCTAAATCCCAACAGTAGTTCTCTCAGAGGACTTTATAAAGCTGTCGATTCAAACACGGGAAATGCAATGACAACAAACACAGAGACATTGTTCCATAAGGAGCAGAGACCAATATCCAGAAAAGTCCATAATGTGGTTGAATGTTTATTGGAAAGGTAAAGGGTAAAGGCACTACATGTTGGGGATGACTCGATGGGTCTCATTTAACGACACGAGCCGACCTCACATCAGAAAAGTATCCCTTTGTCAATCTGGGCCTGAGGTTTTTCACTTTCAGTTGTTCCTCTGATGCAGGAGAGTGTAAGGACAGAGATGATCCAGGACATTTCTGAACATTGGTCTCTGCTCCTCATGGACCAACGGCTCTGTGTGTTTGTTATCACTGCATTTCTTGTGTCTGAACTTTTGGATTCTCTGATCTGTTGTGGCTGAATCAACAGCTTTGTAAAGTCCTCTGAGAGAACTGCTGTTGGGATTTAAGCTTCACTTTCTCGTACACGGTCAGAATGTGCTCAAATAAAAATAAAAACCATTCGATTCCAGCAATTATTACCTCATATTCGATATTATTTTGCAGTGTTGGACTCTCTCTGCTCTCTTTCTCTGCTCTCTCCCTCTAGTTTCTCTCTCTGGTGTCTCTCTCTGGTCTCTCTCCAGCCTCTCTCTCTCCAGCCTCTCTCTCTGCTCTCTCTCTCTGCTCTCTCTCTCCAGCCTCTCTCTCCGCTCTCTCTCCGGCGTCTCTCTCTGCTCTCTCTCCTTCCAGCCTCTCTCTCTGATCTCTCTCCAGCCTCTCTCTTCTCTCTCTCCAACCTCTCTCTGCTCTCTCTCTCTCCAGCCTCTCTCTCTGCTCTCTCTCTCTCCAGCCTCTCTCTCTCTGCTCTATCCCTCTGCTCTCTCTCTCTACAGCCTCTCTCTCTCTGCTCTATCTCTGCTCTCTCTCTCTCTGGTCTCTCTCTCTCCAGCCTCTCTCTCTGCTCTCTCTCTCTCTGCTCTCTCTCTCTGCTCTCTCTCTCTCCAGCCTCTCTCTCTGCTCTCTCTCTCTCCAGCCTCTCTCTCTGCTCTCTCTCTCTCCAGCCTCTCTCTCTGGTCTTCCATACATTTCCACACATACATGGACGTTGCCAGACTGCGATGGGGGCTGATATTGCTGGAGCTCGTCGTTCCGTCATCACTCACTCCAGGACGAGGCATCTGTTTATTACCAGTGCAGTAAATTAAAGCTGAGACACGTGCTTTCGGCGCTGGGGAAACGTTATGGTCTCCACTATATTGGATTTGCTATTGCCTTTTTTGTAATGGCTCAAGCAGCTCGCTTTAAGTGGAATGAACACAGCATTTTGTCTAGAGTTTAAATGATTAATAGTGACAGATATGAAGCTACAGCACTCGCAGCCAGCTCATTTACATACGGGCTTTGCATCGCCTTAATTATTCATGTCCCACCAAGGCATATTTACAAATAAGACTTCTGGCATGATGATAGATTACAGCTCTCTAATTTCTTTTGATTCTAACAAACTACATTTCTCACGTCGCGCTTTTACTGGAAATAAACTGACTTTTCTACGGCTGGGATGATTCACAACTTACACTGTAAAAAACTACCAACTATGAGGTGATAAATGTTTGAATGGAGTGTTTTTATCTTAATCTGACACGTTCTGTCTGTGTTTCAACTAGATTCTCCAACAGGACAGAGACATTTAGTCTGATTCCAACTGTTGCTTTGTTTTGTTATTCCAGGAAAGACTAGAGAGTGAGAGTTCAGAGAGAGAGAGTTCAGAGAGAGAGAGACCTGAGAGAGAAAGACATGAGAGAGAGAGACCAGAGAGAGACGAGTAAGAGAAATGAGCGAGACCAAAGAGAGAGACTAGAAAGAGACCAGAGAGAAACCAGGGAGAGACAATGAAAAACTCACCGTACACAAGCTACAACATTTTCTTTCTGAATATAAATTAAAGATAATGGTCAATTTATTCTATCTTTTCAATCTAGAAAGACTTATTGAAGATTGCATTCAAATGTTTGTTGTCAAGATGCATGAATAAACACAGCAGACTTAGATTGAGACTATTATATTTATTGATGAGTTTTGGCGATTAGACCCCGGCGGTAAAACGGCATGACGTCTGCAGAAGGGAGAGTAATAGATATGATGAGTTTGCGACCCTCCGAAGACATGACATGATACTCCACTGAAGAGGCGATGATGGGGAGGAGGAGGGTTGTTGCTTGAACAGTAACTTGAGCTGAGGCAGGTGTGTAGAGGGAGGAGTCAGTGAAGAGGAAGGAGTCAGTGTAGAGATGGAGGGGTCAGTGTAGAGGGAGGAGTCAGTGTAGAGGGAGGAGTCAGTGTAGGGGGAGGAGTCAGTGTAGAGGGAGGACTCAGTGTAGAGGGAGGAGTCAGTGTAGGGGGAGGAGTCAGTGTAGAGGGAGGACTCAGTGTAGAGGGAGGAGTCAGTGTAGGGGGAGGAGTCAGTGTAGGGGGAGGAGTCAGTGTAGGGGGAGGAGTCAGTGTAGAGGGAGGAGTCTGTGTAGAGGGAGGAGTCAGTGAAGAGGGAGGAGTCAGTATAGAGGGAGGAGTCAGTGAAGAGGGAGGAGTCAGTGTGGCAGCATGACGTGCTTTTGGTCTTCCAGTCTGAATTTGCGTTTAAGCTTCATCAAAAAACTTTGAAAAATCGAATCAAAAGACCAGAGCATGAATTCAGAATGTCCAAATAAAAATAATAGCATTTGACATGGTTCTCCACTAGTTCTAGAACCACTTCTCAGCAGTGATAAACGTCAGACCAAAGTGTGTTGTCGCCGCTCAGACAGATTTGGAGCCCACATCAATCACTGTTAAATCTTCATTTACATGTCGCTGTCCTTGACCACTCCAAAAACACTCACCTTCACTGTCACAAGAGGAAGTTTCAATACTGTCAAGATGATGTGGGCACCAGAGGAGACCAGAAGAGACCAGGGGAGACCAGAGGAGACCAGGGGAGACCAGAGGAGACAGGAGGAGACCAGAGCAGAATAACAACGAACTTGTCTCTGCTTCATCCTCAGCTTCAAAGAAATAAAACTGCTCTTTCATTAACAGATCCACATTCCCCCAAAGTACGAAGCATAAAGATGTCAATTAGACTCCTGCATGTTTCTGACTGCACCTGGTTTGTGCAGACTCTGTGCAGCTGACAGGCAAGACAGGTTTATTTATATAGCACAGTACATACACAACTCAAAGTGCTGAACAAAACAGACACACACACAAGGCATTAACATTAACCGCGTGGTACGTTAAAAAAAGAGTGAAGATACAATCTGTTTTTAACCTGGATTTGAACATTGTCAGAGAAGACTGAAGCTGCATAAATCTGGAACGCTGCCTCCCCATGTTTAGTTCTGACTCTGGGAGCAGAAGGAGGCCAGTCCCTGTGCTCCTCAGAGTCCCAGCAGGAGGCCAGTCCCTGTGCTCCTCAGAGTTGATTCATATGGTACCAACATGTCACAGATGTACTTTGAGGTCATGGAGAGCCACAGGAAGCTAAGACCTGAGAACTGGACTAACGTGATGGTCTTTCTAGACAGGACTAATGTGATGCTACTTCCTGGTTCTAGTCAGGACTAATGTGATGCTACTTCCTGGTTCTAGTCTGGACTAATGTGATGCTACTTCCTGGTTCTAGTCTGGACTAATGTGATGCTACTTCCTGGTTCTAGTCTGGACTAATGTGACGCTACTTCCTGGTTCTAGTCTGGACTAATGTGATGCTACTTCCTGGTTCTAGTCTGGACTAATGTGATGCTACTTCCTGGTTCTTGTCCGGACTAATGTGATGCTACTTCCTGGTTCTAGTCTTGACAAATGTGATCCTACTTCCTGGTTCTAGTCTGGACTCGAGCTGCAGTGTTTTGAATCTACACTACATATGTTTTACAGCAGTGAGCAGTCGTTACAATAGTCTGACACCGGAGACAAAAGTAGGGTAAGAATCTCTAAGTCTGCTTTAGACTCTTTAGTTTTTATCCTGGCAATGTTTTCTAGATGGTAAAAATCTGCTAGTATTGCGTATTTTGAATATGCTCATCTCAATCCCAGTCTGGTCTGTGTCTCCCGCAGGTCTGTGATCCAGTGGCTGAACCGGGTGCAGTCCTTTCTCTACTGTAACGAGAACGGTTTCTGGGGGACGTTCCTGGAGAGCCAGCGGACCTGCGTGTGCCACACCGGCGTCACCCTCTGCCAGCGACCCATCCCCTGCGTCATCGGCGGCAACAACAGCTGTGCCATGTGCAGTCTGGCCAACATCTCCCAGTGCGGCTCCTGCAACAAGGGCTACAAGCTTTACCGCGGCCGCTGCGAGCCCCAGAACGTGGACTCCGAGCGCAGCGAGCAGTTCATCAGCTTCGAGACCGACCTGGACTTTCAGGACCTGGAGCTCAAGTACCTGCTGCAGAAGATGGACTCTCGCCTCTACATACACACTACCTTCATCAGCAACGAGATCCGCCTGGAGACCTTCTTCGATCCGCGGTGGCGCAAACGCATGTCCCTCACTCTGAAAAGTAACAAGAACCGCATGGACTACCTCCACATGATCATCGGCCTGTCCATGAAGATCTGCCAGATGCGAAACAGCAGCATTGACCCCATGTTCTTCGTGTACGTCAACCCGTTCAGCGGCAGCCACTCGGAGGGCTGGAGCATGCCCTTTGGCGAGCACGGCTACCCCCGATGGGAGAAAGTGCGTCTGCAAAACTCACAGTGTTTCAATTGGACTCTGCTGTTGGGGAATCGCTGGAAGACTTTCTTTGAGACGGTCCATATTTACCTCCGCAGTCGAGCCAAGATTCCCACCGGACTCCGCAACGACACAGGCCAGGGCCCCGTGGATCTGGCGGACCCCAACAAACGACAGATTTACATCAAAATATCCGACATCCAGGTTTTCGGCTACAGCCTTCGCTTCAACGGGGACCTGCTCCGGAGCGCGGTGCAGCAGGTGAACCAGTCGTACACGCAGGGAAGTCAGTTCTACTCCTCCTCCTCGGTCATGCTCCTGCTCCTGGACATCAGAGATCGAATCAACCGCCTCGCCCCTCCGTCAGCGCCCGGGAAACCCCAGCTGGACCTGTTCTCGTGTATGCTGAAGCACAGGCTGAAGCTGAACAACAGTGAGATGATCCGAGTGAACCATGCACTGGACATGTACAGCACCGAGATCCTCAAACAGTCGGATCAACTTACCACAAAACTCTGTTGAACTGAACAAAACTCAACCAATGAATCCCAGATCATATAAGTCCTTCTTTGTTCATTTTTTTAGTTTTTGAACTTTTTCTGCCTTTTGATGTAACATTAACTTTGTAAGAATAATTCTTCAAACATGCAGTGACGAAGCAGTTTAACGGAGGCGATCGCGGATTTAAGACTGTATTATACTTGTCCCAGCATGTGTGTCATCCCCCAACAAGAAACAGAAACTAAGAAAAAAAACCACTAGGGAAAAATAAGAAAATTATCTTTTTTTTGTGAAAAGAGGCCTTGATTTTACACGGGATCAAAGGTTTAATCTGAAACTGCCATTCTTAAGAAACACACACATTTTTAAGGGGAAAAAATGAACTAATCCGGGGTAGACAGATCTCCTTTAAACCCTCTCGGACTGTTTAATATTTCAGATGTTTCTATAACGCAAGCACCGCCCGATGGATAACGGTAGAAGCTGAGACGGGAGTTTGCGATCCCCTTTGTATAAGTCCCACACACAGCACACTAAAGGCAGTAATGCATCGTCATGTTGAATATCGAAGCCAGCTGTTTATAATCACATATATCTGTGTGCGAATGTGAGTGCGTTTGTGTGCGTTTGTGTGCGTTTCCTTTGGCTTGCCGCTTCTTGCTGTTCCTCGATGAGTCCGTCCTTTTCAGGGTCGACACCGTCCGGATTGAACCGTTTCACTTTGGAGACGCTTCTTTTTTTAATTTTTTTTCTCACGGGAAAAGTTACCCCCTTCCCGGGCGTGCGGGTGCGATATTGTGGTCTGAAGAGTTTTAACAATCAATGCTATTTTGAAAAAAAAAAAAAAAAAACGGCTTTGCAAAATGTAAACGTTGTGACTGCTGATTTGTGGCAAGAGCAAAATGTAAAAAAAAACCACGCATTATTCAGACTCGCTAAGAAAGAAAGCCATAACGTCCCCGGAGAGACGAGAACCCGGATATCTCACCACATCGCTCCATGTTGGATTCTCTCGGCATCACACCGGAGACACACAAAGCCCTACACACACACACATACACTGTAAAAAATGATGAAATATTAGGTAATAATTGCTTAGAGATGCAGTCAGTGATTTTTTTCCAGACGCATTTTTTTTTTAATATTGTGGAAAACGTCCCTAAACCCTAAAAGTATCAAGTTATCATGTGTTGAGAGGGAGGGGAGGGGGGAGTGGTTTGGTGGAGAGGGGAGGGGGAGTGGTTTGGTGGAGAGAAGGGGAGTGGTTTGGTGGAGAGAAGGGGAGGGGGGAGTGGTTTGGTGGAGAGAAGGGGAGGGGGGAGTGGTTTGGTGGAGAGAAGGGGAGGGGGGAGTGGTTTGGTGGCGAGAAGGGGAGTGGTTTGGTGGAGAGGGAGGGGAGGGGGGAGTGGTTTGGTGGAGAGGGAAGGGGAGGGGGGAGTGGTTTGGTGGAGAGGGAGGGGAGGGGGGAGTGGTTTGGTGGAGAGGGAAGGGAGGGGGGAGTGGTTTGGTGGAGAGGGAGGGGAGGGGGGAGTGGTTTGGTGGAGAGGGAGGGGAGGGGGGAGTGGTTTGGTGGAGAGGGAGGGGAGGGGGGAGTGGTTTGGTGGAGAGGGAGGGGAGGGGGGAGTGGTTTGGTGGGGAGAAGGGGAGGGGGAGTGGTTTGGTGGGGAGAAGGGGAGGGGGGAGTGGTTTGGTGGGGAGAAGGGGAGGGGGGAGTGGCTTGGTGGAGAGGGAAGGGAGGGGGGAGTGGTTTGGTGGGGAGAAGGGGAGGGGGGAGTGGTTTGGTGGAGAGGGAAGGGAGGGGGGAGTGGTTTGGTGGGGAGGGGAGGGGGAGTGGTTTGGTGGAGAGAAGGGGAGTGGTTTGGTGGAGAGAAGGGGAGGGGGGAGTGGTTTGGTGGAGAGAAGGGGAGGGGGGAGTGGTTTGGTGGAGAGAAGGGGAGGGGGGAGTGGTTTGGTGGCGAGAAGGGGAGTGGTTTGGTGGAGAGGGAGGGGAGGGGGGAGTGGTTTGGTGGAGAGGGAGGGGAGGGGGGAGTGGTTTGGTGGAGAGGGAAGGGAGGGGGGAGTGGTTTGGTGGAGAGGGAGGGGAGGGGGGAGTGGTTTGGTGGAGAGGGAGGGGAGGGGGGAGTGGTTTGGTGGAGAGGGAGGGGAGGGGGGAGTGGTTTGGTGGAGAGGGAGGGGAGGGGGGAGTGGTTTGGTGGGGAGAAGGGGAGGGGGAGTGGTTTGGTGGGGAGAAGGGGGGGGGGAGTGGTTTGGTGGGGAGAAGGGGAGGGGGAGTGGCTTGGTGGAGAGGGAAGGGAGGGGGGAGTGGTTTGGTGGGGAGAAGGGGAGGGGGGAGTGGTTTGGTGGAGAGGGAAGGGAGGGGGGAGTGGTTTGGTGGGGAGAAGGGGAGTGGTTTGGTGGAGAGGGAGGGGAGGGGGGGAGTGGTTTGGTGGAGAGAAGGGGAGGGGGGAGTGGTTTGGTGGAGAGGGAGGGGAGGGGGGAGTGGTTTGGTGGAGAGGGAGGGGAGGGGGGAGTGGTTTGGTGGAGAGAAGGGGAGTGGTTTGGTGGAGAGGGAGGGGAGGGGGGAGTGGTTTGGTGGAGAGAAGGGGAGGGGGGAGTGGTTTGGTGGAGAGGGAGGGGAGGGGGGAGTGGTTTGGTGGAGAGGGAGGGGAGGGGGGAGTGGTTTGGTGGAGAGAAGGGGAGGGGGGAGTGGTTTGGTGGAGAGGGAGGGGAGGGGGGGGTGGTTTGGTGGAGAGGGAGGGGAGGGGGGCGTGTGGTTTCCAATTGGTGCTACGGCTAAGCTAACAAAATCGCTAATGCATCTTTAAACAACATTCTCAAGACATGATTGGCCGACGGGACGATGCTGTTTGGTCTTTTCCAATTATTAGTCATTCTGAAGACATTTCTGGGATATTTTAAAAACAAGAAGATTTTGTTTTAAGCCTCAGTCAAAATGTGCACAAATTAAGTCAAATTTGAGACATTTTTTAAATTATTTTTCATCACTTTTTGCAGTGTATACATCCATATTTGGGCAAAACTTACAAAACTACTAAACGCGTTGTAATAAAATCAGTTCCACTATTGTCCAACATCTTTTGCGATTAACTATGCAGCGGTGATTCCTTGAGGATAAATGTCCGATGTCAACGATGGTATGTCACTGGTACGCTATACCAGGTGCAGGTTTACGCTGTACACCTCCTTGTCAAAGAGTGTTCTCCAGGCTAAGCGAGGCAGGAGCTGGTCAGTGCTGGGATGTGAGTTCAAACCTGTATTTTTCTGTATTTTTTCAAAGTTTTCCCCTAAATAGTCCTGTTATAGATTACAACTTTACTGCAGAGATTTACATATTTGTGGGTCTACCAGAAGTTTCATGGACGAGAGTCTGACTATGTCCTGGAGTGGATCGGTTTGTTTGTGTGTTTTACTTCCTGTTTTGTTCTTCTGTTTGATGGTCTGCCCTGCCCTCCGTGAGTCTCTGTGTGTCTCTGTGAGTCTCTGTCTCTGTATTAACCCCCTGTGGTCTTTCCCATCAGTGGCTGGTTCAAAAGAAAGGACTCAAAATGCAGGAATGTAAAATAAAATGAATGTCCGAGGAGAAAAATCAAACTCAAAATGTCTGTTGAACTGGAGTCTGACGAGAATGGACCGCTCACAAATGGGGAAGAGCTCAGAGGACGTAGAGACAGAGAGACACCGAGAGAGATGGGGTGAGACACAGAGAGAGACAGAGAGAGATACACACAGAGAGACACAGAGAGACACAGAGAGACAGAGAGAGACACAGAGAGACACAGAAAGACAGAGAGAGACACATAGAGAGACACATAGAGAGACACAGAGAGACACAGAGAGACAGAGAGAGACACATAGAGAGACACAGAGAGACACATAGAGAGACACAGAGAGACAGAGAGAGACACAGAGAGAGACACAGAGAGACACATAGAGAGACACAGAGACAGAGAGAGACACAGAGACAGAGAGAGACACAGAGAGACACAGGTGAGACACAGAGAGACACATGTGAGACACAGAGAGACACAGAGAGACACATAGAGAGACACAGAGAGACACATAGAGAGACACAGAGAGACACAGGTGAGACACAGAGAGACAGAGAGAGACACAGAAAGACACATAGAGAGACACAGAGAGACACAGAGAGACACATAGAGAGACACAGAGAGACACAGAGAGACACAGAGAGACACAGAGAGACACAGATAGAGAGACAGAGAGACAGAGAGACACAGGTGAGACACAGAGACACAGAGACACAGAGAGACACATGGAGAGACACAGAGAGACACATAGAGAGACACAGAGAGAGACACATAGAGAGACACAGAGAGACACATAGAGATACATAGACACAGAGAGACACATAGAGAGACACAGAGAGACACAGAGAGACACAGATAGAGAGACAGAGAGACACAGAGAGACACAGATAGAGAGACAGAGAGACACAGAGATACACAGGTGAGACACAGAGAGACACATAGAGAGACACAGAGAGACACAGAGAGACACAGAGAGACACAGACACAGAGAGACACAGGTGAGACACAGAGACACAGAGAGACACATGGAGAGACACAGAGAGACACATAGAGAGACACAGAGAGAGACACATAGAGAGACACAGAGAGACACATAGAGATACATAGACACAGAGAGACACATAGAGAGACACAGAGAGACACAGAGAGACACAGATAGAGAGACAGAGAGACACAGAGAGACACAGATAGAGAGACAGAGATACACAGGTGAGACACAGAGAGACACATAGAGAGACACAGAGAGACACAGATAGAGAGACAGAGAGACACAGAGATACACAGGTGAGACACAGAGAGACACATAGAGAGACACAGAGAGACACAGATAGAGAGACAGAGAGACACAGACACAGAGAGACACATAGAGAGACACAGAGAGACACAGGTGAGACACAGAGAGACACATAGAGAGACACAGAGAGACACAGAGAGACACACAGAGAGACACAGAGAGACACAGGTGAGACACAG